AATAATTATAAGTATAGCAATGTTAATTCAGGGTTTATGATGAGTCAGACCTGAGCTAAGGACTTCATCTACATAATTACACAAATACTTTGTGTAGTGACCTCACAAAGAGGATGATTATTAAATGGAGAAGGAAACTGAGCACAAAGAGTTTAAGTTGTTCAAATGCATCACTGTTAGATGGTAGATTTTAGTTTGGAACCCAGAAAGTTTGCTTCCAGAAACTGTATGTATAACCATTTAACAACACTGCTTTGTCTGTAGATGTGTAGACTGTTTGCTGGGCCTGGCTATTCCTCTCTACCTGCTTGCTAACTCACCCTTTGCTTTCACTACCAAATTTACCCTAAATTTATTCTTCATTTACATTCTCTAATTCTTCACAGACCCACCCCTCTATAAACATTGATCTCTGGATGATCATTAATTATTAAATCAGGCAATATTTCCTTAAACTTAGCTCTCTTAAGTCCATTTAAAAAAAAAGATTTATTTCATCTATTTATACATACAAGAACTAGGGTGTAGGCCAGAGATGTGGGGAAGTTGAGGTGAGAGACCAGAGACAGAGTAGGAACATAACAAATAAATCTGCTGAAATACACTGCTGAGGGGAGCAGCAGGCATGACAGGAGAGGTCTGCTATGCCATCTGGGTCAGCTCCTTGGCTGGGAATCTAATTTGTGCTTAGTGGCTGCCAATAGCTTCATAGTGCTGGGACTTAACCTCTTGTGCTACCACACCCTATCTTTTTTTCTTGAAACATTTCCTCCTTTGCATTTGTACTATAGTCTGATCTCTCATAACCTCTCTAACCACTACTTTACCTCTTGACAAATGTCACTAATTCTCTTCAGTTTTGAGAAGGAACATGGATATATAACCAAGAAGGCTTAGGTACTAGCAGGCTAGAGTAGACCAGTATCCTTACTGGGACTGTAAAGTGTAGCTTAACAGTGGGTACAAATGAAACCCCTCAAAATTTCAAGTATAATCTCATAGCCACATGACATTTTCAAGGCTGTTTTTCAAATTGCTTAAGCAAATGAAGACAGAAGGTATGCCCTCTAGACATGCCTTTTGACTTGCTTTATCATAATGTCATTTTTGAGTTGGGTAATGAGGTCAACCTTCCTACTTTACCTGTACAAAATAGGGACAATAACATACTTAGGCTATAGGATTTGTAAGAGTAAAATGAAATAAAAAAAAAAGAGCTATTCAATAAAATAATTCTTATTACGATTTATTCATTCACTTATTTACTCACCAACTATATACTAAATGTCCATTCTGTGCCAGGCATATTCTGTATGCGGGAACACAGTGTTGAATAAGTACAAATGCAACACTTGCCCTCAGGAAGTTTACAGTCAGGTGGGGGCAGCTGGGAGCAACATCATTATAACTCTCAGACCTTTATTCACTTAGGTGAAGGGTATGAATAAGGCAGTCATAGGAGAGGGAATTGGAAAGACAGGGCTTGGGAAATTTGAAAACTTTTGTGTGGTGGCTTGAGGATAGAATCCTGATCCTATTCATCACTGAAGATTTTCAGCAGGGAAGTGACTGAAACTTGTTTTTGGAGGATAGATTGGGGGCTGGATGGGTGAGACAAGAAGTAATACCAATTAATGGCTATTTTTGCAATGGTCCTGGCAGGAATGATAATGATATAAATTGGCATTTTGTCAGTGAGGAGGGACAGAAGAGTTCTGAGTAAAGTAGAAGTCATTTCCCACTGGTTTCCTATACACCTAGAGTTACTTCCAGTTCCAGAAACTCCAGAGAGCAACGTAATGCATAAAAACTCTTCAACTTGGCCCTCCCTGGTGGCGCAGCGGGTTAAAGCACTGCACTGAGAAGCTAAAGCCACTTCAGCATGAGTTCTATTCCCGCCTGCCCGGAGTTGACCACGTGGCATGGCAGACCCCTCCTGACCCACCCGCTGCTCCCCTTAGATCCCTTCATGGATCTATCTACCTGTCCTGCTCCCCGCTCTGTCTCTGGTGAATCTTCTCACCCTCCGCATCTCTGGCCTGTACCCCAGTTCTGTATAAACAAACAAACAAACAAACAAGCAAAAAAACCTCTTCAACCCAAGTGGTCTGACCCATTCTCACTCCTAGTTTGTCAACCAGTAGGTCAAGGTTTTTATGGCGCTGAGCTGCTCCCTAGTGGACTCTAGAGTTTGTAACAGCAGAGAACCTTTTCAGGACATGCTCTAAATGCTGTGTCTCAGGTATAAGAAAATCAAGAAGATGTTGAACGGTAAGATCAGGTTAAATAGTAAGTGAAGTTACTCAGGTGGGACTGATTAGGGACCCAATAGCACTGAGTGACTCTAGCCAGAAAACTGCACATTTCACGCAGCTGTTTTAGTGCTCCAGAAGATTTTTGAGGAAACCAGAGGGGGGTTTATTTGGTGTCCTTTGAGAATGTGGGCCCTGTATGTCAAATATTTCAGTTTTAAAGAGAAGTTGGAAATGCAAATTGCTATAAGTAATAGTTCAATTTGTTAAATGTTGTGAAATGACTTTAAAAATTAAGAAAAATGAACTCTGTAGCCCCCTTTTGTCAATTTCTACATGGAAGAACATCAGTTCCCAAATGCTAGTCCATCATTAATAGTGATTAGTGGCAAATATTCACTGATTTATGGTGAAATTATAAAAAAAAAACCATGACATAAGTTATTCCTTGTCACTAAATCTGTGTGTAAAGTAGAAAACTGCTTACCCCCTTTTTTGACTACGTCCTTTTATATTTTGTTGAAATAGCCTTGATTTGTCCTTATGTTAAAATAATTTGATGAAATTACATTGTTACTAATGTATTATGTCTTATTGGATTTTATGGATTTTTGGCAAAATCTATAATGTGCAACTACATTGCCTTAAAATTTTGCTTGAAATATTTAAATATAAGTGCTAAAACAGTAGCACTTATATTTAAATATCAAAACACTGCTAAAACAGTAGCAAATTCACTGAACATTTTTGAGCAATATTTGTATTTGGAAAACACAGACTCATATCTTGGTTGTTGACATGGAAGGTGTATTGGTTAAGGAGGGACTCCAGGTCCAGGGTGTGATAGGCAAAGAGTAAGAGACCCCAAAGGAACTCACACCTTTATTTTGTGACTGGGGACAGTGAGACATGCTGAGGGGAAGAGAAATGTCTGTGGTCATCCAGGGAGTTAGTGTCAGAATCACAACCAAACCTCACACCCTCCACCCCCATACCAGGTGTATTCTTTCACCTGTCACAGTCATTTCTCTATCAACCAGGTGGTAGCCCAGACACTGCTAAGCTAGAATGCTGATGAGAACAAGGAGTGCAAAGACTTTAGGATAATAGAAAGTGTGATTTGTGTAGCTGAACATTTCTACTGCAACTCTTTCACCACACTTATTTCTTTTGGGGGTACAGAAGTTTGCTTTATAAGTTGATTTTTGTATACAGACTCTCTACCTCACCCCATCACTACAACGAGCATACAACAGAGATCTGACTTTGTTATCAATTTAAAGAATGATTTTGTAAGCAATAATAATATTTTCTAAAAATTGAGCACCATCCACAAGTCGGGTAGTAGTGTAACTGCTTTTATTTTTTAAATGCATTGTTTAATTAAAAGCAGTCTAAAAACGCTTGGTATTTGTAGGTCACATGTTCAGGACAGCATTCTATACTGGGGACATGGTAGTGAATAGAACACTATTCTCTACCCACATGAAGTTTATATCCTGAGCTTTAGTGTCTTTCCTCATTCAATTTAACTTCATCCTATTTTGGTTCATGCTGGCCTGAAACACAATTTTAAATAACTCAGAAGAAAGTTATAGGTAGGCCAGTTGCTGTGGACATGTGCTGGTGAAGCAGGACATTTCCTATGTGCTTAGATTTTGCTACTTTCCCAAGCCTGCTGCTTAGGGAAATCTGCTGCTTTGATTTTGTTGCTTGCTGGATCAGAGAGGCTGCTGGGTGTACTACAATCCCTGTTTACCGGGGTATCCTGTAGACCCAGGGCTGCCCTGACCCCCTTCCCGAACAATAAAGAATGCTTATGCTATGGTAGATTAAATGACAAGTTTCCTCATACAAACTGTATAAAACCTTACTACTCTCGTAATCTGGAGCTCAGCCTTTTGGAACTGATCCCACTGTGCCTGTTGGTGTGACAAGTAAAATCTCTCTCCTCTGAGCGTACTCTGATTTCTCTGGAAAATTGCCACAACACTGGAATCAGGAAAAATTTGGATAAAATGAAAATTAAGTTATGACATGAAGGGTGTATTAGAAGTTAGCCAGGTGAAGAGGGAGAGGGAAAATGGCTTATAGAGAAGGATCAGGCAGGGCCTAGCTGGAGGAAGCAGCCTGCTGGGATTGAGGTAAGGAGGTAAGTCCAGAAGGAGTCCTGAGGGAAAGTGGGCAAGAAGGGGTGTGCTGAGGTCTAGTTGCTAGACTCCCACAGAGCTTTGCAAAGCTACTTATAAAGCTTTGGAAAACAAAAAAGATTAAAAAAATTACATTTGATTGCACAATTTGTAATTCTTTGTCTAAAACAGATCTTTTTCCACTGTTCTGAGTTGCTGACTTACAAGGGCCATTAGGGTCCTGTCCCATCGCCTGTTTTGGCCCTAAATTCCAATGTGCCTGTTGTGCCTGCAGCTGAGTTTTGCCCTTGTGATGGGCTCATCTCCTGATGAACACCACTCTCAGGTTCCTAGTGAGCGAATCTGTACCGTTTCCTCCTTCCATGCAATCATTTATCCATTCAGTGAATAGTTCTGTGTTTCAAGCAATTTACAAAATCATTAGGGAGGAGGGGTTCCTATGGCCTTATGTTTGTTCTAGATTGAAAACTAGGCATAATGAGTTCAAAAATCCAATTTCCCAACCCTATGACAATTTGGAAACTCCTGAATAATAAGACTCCTTTCTTGGTGCGATTTCACTCTACCCATATTTCAAAATCTTCTTTCGTTTTCTCAGCCCATCTGCCAGGCAGCTTATCAGAACGACTTTGGCCAGGTGTGGCAGTGGGTGAGGGAGGACAGCAACTGTGTCAACGTTCAAGATGGCTTCAATGGAGACACCCCCCTGATCTGTGCCTGCCGGCGAGGGCATCTGAGGATCATTTCCTTCCTTTTAAAAAGAAATGCTGATGTGAACCTCAGAAACCGGGTGAGGCCACGCCACACGAATGGAGAGTGACTGACTGACTGTCCTTTCTTCTCCCTTCAGTGCAAGTACAGAATGCCATTTTCTTACTATTGGTGGCACTTAATCTTAGCAATTTTTTTTACATTACTTTAGCGAGACTGACACATATTGAGGACATATGAGTATTAAAAGCTATATATATATAGCTTAATATATATACATATATTTATTAAGATTTATTTATTTTGTGCATACAGAACTGGGGTACAAGCCAGAGGTGCAAGGGCAGTGAGAGGATTCACCAGAGACAGAGTGGGGAGCTGAACAGGCAGATTGATAGAGCACACTGCTGAGAGTAGCAGCGGGCGTGTCAGGAGAGGTCTGCCACACCATGTGGGTCACCTTGGGGGTCGGCGGGGATCGAACTCATGCTGAAGTGGGTTTAGCTTCATGGTGCTGTGTAAAAGTGATATTTTGTGGAAAAGCAGTGTTTTGTTATATATATTTTATTTTGTTAAAGTTTTATTTTAATAATATTTGATTAAAAATTAAAACATAGTTCAACCAGCAGGTGTATTTTGGAGTTACCTACTCCCATGTAGTTCTAAAAAAGAAGAGAATGCTGCACTATTTGACTGAAAGCATTTGATCTTTTTCTTTTTTTAACCTGTTGCACTACCAGGGAGGACCCAACAAAGGTCATATACACACATTTTTGTCTTAAAAAAAGCAAAAACAAAACTCTGCTAATGATTCAGATGCATATGCCTAACATAGGACATTGAGATCATGGAAGCAAATTAATTTTTTTTTTTTGTCAAAGTGACAAGTCAAATTTGCTCACAAAGGAAATTCAAATCATCACTATCTTATTAGACTATGACTTAGCTTATGCTGATAACATGACTAGAAATGTTGACAAAGTTCTATGAAGTAGGATGTTCAAATAGTATTATTTATGAAAATAACTGTTAAAAACTTGAAATATTCAACAGACAGGGTTTGGTTAAATTAAATTAGTTTTATTTAGTAGAAAGCCATGAAGCTGTTGCAGTCAAATGCTTGAAAATATTACATGGCATGGAAAATGTATGCATGGGAAATGTTCTTTTGAAAACATACAGGGGTGGCTGGACTTCAGTGATAGCAACGGAATATAGTAACCACCATGAGATAGGTAATAAAAGCCATTTCTGACTGTTGGAAGAACTAGAAGGTCGGAAAGCACAAGTAAATGGCACAGAGAGTTGGGGTCTCCAAGATGATGAGGACATGACAAGAGATGACAAAGATGACAATTAGCCCTTAAGAGTATTTTATGAAAACTAAATATGCAGCGTTAAAATAGAATGTGGGGCCCTCCCTGGTGGTGCAGCGGGTTAAAGCACAGCACAAAGAAGCTTAAACCACTTCCGCATGAGTTCGATCCCCGCCTGCCCCGGAGGTGACCACATGGCGAGGCAGACCTCTCCTGACCCACCCGCTGCTCCCCTCAGCGATGTACTTTGTCCATCTGCCTGTTCTGCTCCCCACTCTGTCTCTGGTGAATCCTCTCACCCTCCGCATCTCTGACCTGTACCCCAGTTCTGTACGAATAAATAAAAAAATCTTTAAAAAAAAATAGAATGTGGACACAAATATCCAGAAGAACTTCCTTTGTAAGTTTGCAACAAAAATTAAGATGGCGTTAGTAGTTCTAATGGAGTGATTGGCCCAACAGCCATGTCAGTGCTAGCAAATGGCAGGATTCAGATAGCACCAGAGTTGTCTCACAAGAGCTTCAGGGTGACCCTCCTCCTCTGTACTGCCCATTTGATGGAAGCACTCTTGATTTCCCACAATTGTAAGTTTCTAGATAAGTCTTGTAGATGTCAAAGTCCTGGATAGGAAGCTCCTGTTAATATGGCATGTTATTTTATGATACTGTAAATTGTCTTTGTTCACTTGAAATATTTAAATCATGCTCTAACAAATTTTTAAAAAAGTAAGATGATTTTGCCTATGAAATATGATCTGACTTTTTAAAATTCCATATACATATGGAAGTATGTATCAATTATACCTTGATAAGGTTAAATATGAATAAATATACTGGGGTCCTCCCTCTTTGTGCAAGGAGTTAAGTGTAGCAATATGAAACTATCTGCAGGCATTGCAGCAGGAGTTTGATCCTCAGCCAGGGAGTTGAGCTGACCCACATGGCACAGCAGACCTCTCCTATCCCACCCTCTGCTCCCCTCAGCAGTGTATTTCAGTTGATCCACCTGTTCTACTCTCCACTCTGTCTCTGGTGAATCCTCTCACTCCCCACTTCTCTGACCTACTCCTCAGCTCTTGTAAGCATAAATAAATAAATCTTTAAAAAAAAGAATAGACTGGAAGAAAATATAGTAAAAATGTGAACACAATAAACTCTGAACTGTTTGATAATGGGTGTTTAAAATTCTACCATTATCTTATTGTCTGTTTTCACATTTTTTAAAGAGAACATACTATACTTTAATATTAGAAAAACAAAGTGTCTTTATTTAAGACCAGCGCCTCCCCTAAGTGGAAATCAACCTCTCTTCTCTCTCTGGCTCTGCCTACTACTGCTTTGGTTGGTAATTTCATGACAAGAGTCTGGAATTATACTTATTTGCATTTTCTGTCCACATTTGCTTTATTATGAACCTTTCCACCCACCTGGCAACTCTATAACTCTCTCTATCCTTAGGAGTTTGTCTGTCACATGATTAAAAATTCTCTGAGTCATGTCCTGTCTTCTTGCCAGTGTGGATATCAGAATATGGAGAAATTGTCATGTGATTAAGATTCCCCTATATCCAAACCACAAAATGAGTAAGAGTTCTGCATAGGTGATCTAGACACAGCTATAGTTTTTCAAACCAAATTTAGTCTTGTGCTTTTTCCAAATACTAAAATGGATGTAAGAATCCAATTTTTGATCATATGAAAACACATTTAATCTCTTGGTTTTTCTGTGACCCTCACCTGGTCATTTCTTTAGACTGGACTGTGTTTAATATTCTGGTCAGTGGAAACTTGAACTTTTTTTATTAGACTTATGTCCCAGGAAGAGGTACAAGAAGTTCTATAAAGCCTGAAGACCAGAAGTATCATAAAACACCAACTAAACACTAATGTCTTCTAGATTTGAAGCCAGTCCTCTTTGCTGTGGGAACCATCATGTCTTTAACTCAGTGCCTTATAGGAGTTGTCTAGAAATAAAACAGAGCCTTTACCTTAGATAACATTTAGACTTCTGAACTTTCATTTTGATATGGTAAGCTGTAAATATGAAATCTGAAACAAAATGTTTTATTAATAAAGAATCCTTTTCTTACTTTCTTAGAAAGAGAGAACCTGCTTGCATTATGCTGTGAAGAAAAAATTTACCTTCTTTGATTACCTACTCATTATCCTTTTAATGCCTGTCCTGCTCATTGGATATTTCCTCATGGTGAGTACAGAACCTGCAGAGCCAGGAACAACTGACTGGGATTCATGGCATTGCTCGTCAAGTTGGCCAGACCAGAGAGTGTAAAGAAATAATAAAAAAAATTTGGTTTGTATGCCTTAAATGACATTTCCAACATACATATAATGTTGTGATTGAAGTACAGAAAGAAGAGAGGTGGCCAAAAAGTTAATTCATATAAAAATAATCTGTGCAGTATTTATTTTGAAAAATGAAACAACTATAAATCATTCAAAGGAAGCACACAAATCCTGGTTATTCAAAAAAACCTCTTCTATAAATATGATAGATATTGTTTTGTACAATGTATCTTCTGAATTTCTGACTTTGAAGAGCCCACATTGTTGGTGAATTTAAAAACAGACACCATGAGAATTGTATCCAGATCTTTTTTAAAAAAATGTTTTATTTATTTATGCATACAGATCTTTGTAGAGAATCCAAAGCAGATTTTCTCACAGTGGAATGGATTTTTGACTTGAAGTAATTTTATTAAATAAACAAGGATGTAATTGGTGTAGGGATATAGTCATATTATGAATTTCATGTTTTTGTTTTTTTAATAGAATAACAGGTTTACATTTAGTCATTCATTTTTTCCCATCTGACTCTCTTGTGACCTTACAGCTGTTTCCACCTTTGAAAGATGACTCAACAGACACATAATTTACTCCAGTTAAATCATAACACTCCAGTCTCACTGTAGTTAATAGATCTTGGGTCTTAGTTATCCCTGTTAATGTCAGTTCCAGAACAAAATCGGTCAATAAGAAATGTAATTACCTCCTTGGATTTTTAAATGGCACAACATTTGAAGAATGCTGTGTTAAATAGGGTAACATTAATGTTGATACTTGGATTTGGAAGAGGGAAGCTATAGTTCACTGGTAAGCACATAATCTACTTATATCTGGGAAAAGTTCTTGAAAGATTAATTGTATATTTAGGATATAACATTTGGATGTTTGTAATTTGGGGACGGGTGAGAGGCTGTCATTTGTTTACAAATCTCTTTAGAGATGATGAGGAAAGAATCACAACTATGATTAACAAAGCTCATTCATAATTTGTTGACATACCACCTTGCTTTCTAAGACTGTCTAAAGTTTAAAAGCTAGAGGTCTAGGGAAAATTACTTACAGCAATGAAGCCACTCCATAGCACAAGTGTCCTATTTACTGACACTAGAAGCTACACATTTGTGATGTGCATGAGATATGGCATAAGAAAAGTTATAGATGGAGCTTTGAAGATGATAAAAGAAGGGAAGCCCATGACTTAGCCAAGCCATACATACCAAAGCATTAGAATGTTGGAGCAACTTTTACATTGGCAGTGGTCAGAGTTTTAGGGGTTTACGTGAGAAAAGTGGATTTCTAGGAGTCTAGTTAATTTCATTCATTCACAAAATCACTCAAGACATTGAATGATTTATTGTAGGCCTACTATATGCCAGGAACTGTATTGCATGCCAAGATACAATGGCAAGCTATACAGGTTTAGTCCTTGTCCCCATGAGAATTAGAAGGTGATGGAGAATATAAATCAGATGACAGAAACACGTGAAAAATGTCCACAAAGCTGGTGATGTAGAGAGTGATCAGCATTAGGAAAGTCAAGCAGAGAGGAGTTTCACCTGACCAGGCAGATGATGAACTCTTCTTAGAAGAAGAGTACTGTGGGCGGAGAGAGGGAAAGGGAAACTACTAGTGAAGAAGGGACTATTCTGTGAGACTATTCTCTTGCACAAAGAAACCTGGTGGGAATAAAAGGTTGAAAACGACCATTGTGGTAGAGCAGGCGAGGCTGGAGGGGTGTAGTGACATTGCTGGGGCCATGAGTAGAGACAGAACTCTGTGGAAGGTGTGCTGTACGCTATGCCAATGAGCTTGCTTTTGTTCTCAGAGAATCGGAAGGATTTTGAGTCAGGAAAAGACAGGGGAATGGACCCTGTCTTCAGCAGAAGTTGGTAGGTGGGACAATTTTTCAGGTACTGATATTTCTATTCTAGGACTTCATTTTAGGAACTAATCAATATTGAAGGATGGCAAGATGAAGGTAGAGATTTTAAGAAAATGTCATGAACACAAAGGCATGTTAGGATCAAAATAAAACATTGATTATAAGAGTCCAGACATAAGTTTGTAGATAAATCTTGCATGTGTCATTTGTTACAGGTATCAAAGACAAAACAGAATGAGACCCTTGTGCGGATGTTACTTGATGCTGGTGTGGAAATTAATGCTGTGGACTGTGTGAGTTTGAATCTCCTGCCATTTTGAAATGATACCCAAATATCATTTGCAGGCAGCTACTTGTCATCCAAAAGTTGCATGCTTGATTTTCCAGGACATGGTTATATTAAGTCTCTTTCTCACTAACCCCCTACTCCCTCGCTGTTCTTCGGGCATTTTTGTATTCTGCCACAAAACTCTCATGGGAATAATCTGGTTTTTTTTTTCCTGATTATAGAACAACTATTAGGAGCTTCTGGTTGGGGAGAAATTAATCAAAACAGAGGCTCATTAGTAAAGAATCTAGCATGAGAATGCAACACAGACACATTCAGCAAACATTTTTGAAAAACTCTATTCAGATATTTGGAGCCATTTTCAGCTCTAAACAATGCAGTGTAATGTATTCCCAGGCAATTAGATTCTAGCCCACATAAGAAAATTCAGTCTCTATCATCCATTTATCATGCCATAATTTTAATACAAAATAATCGGTTATCACATTAACTCTTATTATTGTCAAAGTGTTTCTGTGGAATAAGAGCCAGAGTTAATTCTGTTATCTTGATATCAAGGGTATCATTCGTCACTTCAAAAACTGTGTTTGCTTGATAGCGTTCTGAAAAGCAGAACTTTGGATGCAATTTTATTTTGCCCCCTAGTTTGTGTTTAAAATCAGTACAGAGTAGAGAGGCTATTATTTCACACATCTTATAAGCTACGACAAGCCAGGTAGGGGAGACTCCCTTGTTGGACTGCCCTGACCTGGGCATGAGCACACTCACGTGGACACTAACTGCCTTTTCAGACTGTGGGCATTTTGATGAGAAAACATAGAGGACACTATTTGTGAAAACACCTATATGGGACCTTTCTGGTGGTGAAAGGGGTTAAGACTCAGCACTATGAAGCTATCAGTAGCCACTGTAGCACAAGTTCAATCCCTAGACAGGAGCTAAACCACATGGCTCAGCAGATCTCTCCTGTCTTTCCCATTGCTCCCCTCAGCAGTGTATTTCAGTCGATCCTCCTGTTCTGCTCCCCATTCTGTCTCTGGTGACTCCTCTCACTGCCCTCCCTTCTGGCCTGCACCCCAGCTCTTCTATCCTACCATGTGTGAAATGATTAATGATGAGTCCTTGGCTCTTTGTCTTTCAGTATGGCTACACTGCATTACATTATGCCTGTGAAATGAAAAACCAGACTCTCATCCCTCTGCTCCTTGAATCCCATGCGGACCCCATGATAAGGAATAAGGTAAGGACCTGTGGACCATGGTGTGCAGACTTTCCGATGGCATAATTTCACCTTGACCTTCTTTTGAAGTACATCAACTGCTTCTCATGCTGTTAAGGGAAAAATTAATCATCTTCATTAAGGAATGAAATTATCCTATTCTGCTAGAACTTGCCATGTCTGAGAGTCAGTCTAGTTGTTTGCTTGATCCTTTGATATTTGACCATACTGAAGAGTAATAACTAGATTTCCTTTTTCTCCTCAGAATGGTGAAAGCTCTCTGGATATTGCACGGAGATTAAAATTTTTCCAGATTGAACTAATGCTAAGAAAAGCATCATAATCCTTATGACCTCAGATGGGGAAGTAGAAAGAGTTAAAGGACTGGATTCTCTCTCCGTCTTGGACCACTGGTCTGTAGTCCACTAAACCCGGTGCCATCATTTTATGGTGATAATGCTGGCTGCTATGGGCAACACTTTTGTGTTTATAATGTTTTTTGTTGGTCAGTGGAGTTGACCATGGGCACAATCCTTCTAAGGGAAATACCAAAGCCCTTGGAATCTCCATGTCAGTCCAAAGGAGATGTTTCAAAATGATTCTCTCCTGGAGAAGAGGACCAGATTTCTTGGAGTTGGTGTCCTCTCTTCTCAGTGTGTAAAGAGTTGTTCTATGTATGTCATGCCTCAGGAGACAGAAATGTATCTGTCATGTTTATAGATATATAGAAGGATGTATGTACGTGGGTGGGCTTGGAAATTCATATGTATTTTTTTTTTTTTTGGTGAAACAACTTTAATAAAATCACGTATCAGTTGTCAGTGGTGAATTGTCTAAACAGTAGAATTTGACAAATTCTATTAAGTCAGGATGTTGTCACCCCAGAAGGTTATTGGACTATTTGTTTCTTCTAGATTTTGGTACCAGGATACAAATAAAAGCCATTTCAATTTTGAACAAGATTAAATGACTCTAAGGATATTTGCTCAAAATTATCTTTATGATTATTTTGTGAATAAAAGGCGGCTATTAAATTTATTAGCTCTGTTTATGTTAATAAAATTAACAAATTATTTGAATAATGAGCTATCTGGATTATACTTCTATAGGAGATTCTGACTATCATGATAAGTCTCTTGTCAGTGAAACAGAATAAAGGAAATGCATTTTGAAAATTTCTGAATTTTATAAAGTAAGATAGTTTTATGAATAACTTTAAACTTTAAACATAACTTTAAAGTCACCATGTGTGGTTACAAAGTCTACAAAGATTTACCAGCCTTAAATAAAAATCAAATCCTGGAGTACCTTTTAAAAGGTATCCAGGATCTTAAGGGGTGTATAATGTAAGGGAAGAAGTAACATGTAGACAGAGATTCAGATGTAGATATATATAGTTTTTTAATAGATCATCTAAAATCCATTCACATTGAAATGAGTTACCTGATGATTCTGGGGGATGAAAAAAAAAATAGTGAACTTCACATACCAATATACCTTCAATTTGGTACCAGAGTTCTACAAAATTGTACTATTACTCATATAATTTACAACTGTCATTTTTAAAGATGTGTGAAAGTTGGACAATTTTCTAAAGAAATAAATCTACATTAAATGAGTTGGGCAGATTGTCTAATAGTAACTTTGTCAAGATCAAAGGATAAAATACATGACATTTTTTTTTCTACTTATGACATTATAAAATTTTCTTCCCAGCCTTTAATTTTTGAAGACAGAAAACTGGGTCAGACATTTCTAGTCATTAAGTCTCCCAGTAATGGGCTATAAACTCTCAAACAAGCTTGGGCTAGAAACTAGTGCTGAAATATACAAACATACTTTATGCAATGAGTAGCACATATATTACAAAAGTCATAAATATACTATAAAATTATCTTCTTTGAAACTTGGCTATAACTCTTAGAATTATTCATAAGATGCTTAAAATATATTTCATCTACACTGTACATTGTTTTATCTTTGCTTTTGTTAAAACAACAGACTTCCTGGGCAAGGTGTATCACCATGGTTATAAAGTGAATTTGTCTCACCTATTTTGTCAAAGTCAACAACCATCCAGAGATTCAAGACCCCTGTCTCTGTCCGAAGTTGTCCTTCTATTTTATTGCTTCAAAAATATGACATAAAAATAAAGAGGCTTTTAAGGTTTATTTGAATGATATTGAGAATGTTTAGTTTCCAGCTGATAATGCATACTCTTCAAATGTTGGAATATATAACAGCACATGAAACATGTTTATCCAATGAGCAGTTTAATTAAATGGAAGATAAATGTCAGTTTTAGTGCCAAATGCAGGAAATCCAAAGGAAAGTATATTTATTTCTACTTTATATATTTCTATATTTATTTGTCCTTTCTCCACCTCCCTTTCTAGTGACATAATAGGTTTGTTTCCCAGTCTTGAAATCTTCCTTAAAATTCTCCACTGGTGGACCCCACCCTGTCTCCCAAGAAGTTTTTCTAAGACTTATCAGTATCCCATGCCTCAGAACAAGGTGACCTCACAAGTTTCCTTGGTAACGTTGGCTTCCTCCTGCTTCATCAGATGTATGATTTCATTGTACAAACGATGAGGAGCATCCAAACCCCAGATGAAATCAACGTGTGCCCACTCTGGAATTTTCTTATGGTAGATAAGGTTGGTCACCTCGGAGAGCAGCATTTTCACGTCTTCTGGATTTGAAAGCCAGTCCTGACCTCCAGTCCACATTGCCGTAGGAACTGTCATGTCTTTAACTCTGTATCTCATAGGAGTTGGCTAGGGGAAAAAAGTCTTTAGTTGTAAATGTCATTTGCCCTTCCAAATTCATAATTTACATCTAAGATAAACATGGCGATGTGCCCTGCATTGTGATGAAAAGTACCTGACCACTAAAGCCATATAGGATTACATTAAGGCTTTTTGTTCCAGCCCTCCTTAAAGGCAAAACTGCTTAAACTTCCTGATCCTCAGTTTCTTCACCTGTGAAATGGGGAAAGTATCTCTAACAAGTTACTAGGTGAAATGAGAAAACAGGTAAACTGTCTGGTATGTCAGATATCCAATGTTCAATTCTTTTTCCCCCATTAATGAATATTTACAATATATTGTTTTTAACAGATAATATTCCTTTTAAAATTTAATGTCATAAATGTATCGTGAGACCAGAGTTACAGATATTCAGCAGAGAAAGGCAAGAGAGTGGAACATACTAGCTAAGAAGCCCTCCAAGTTTCACAGAAACATTCAGTGACAACAGAAAACTCTGAGAAAGCTCCAACCTTGACTATTCACAAAAAAATGTGGGGACATCAAAGGCACCAAAATGTAGTATATTGAACTAACAGGAGGTAAAAGTAGCTCCTGTTTCAGACATGCATCACCCAAGGAAGGGTATATCAGAGTCCTGATTCCTGAGAGTTTCCCTTCAGACCAGCTCACTGAGCTCTTGAGCACCCAGAATTTCCACCACAAAGGTTGAGGGCTCTTTCCTCTCAGAAACTCTAGCCTAGAGCCAAGCTGGTAACCCAATGTCCTTATTCCTTTGTGTGGTTTGTCAAGAATTTTGAAGTTAGAGCTCCTTAACTGTGAAAGATAAGTACAGTCTGTGGAAACCAGTAACTTTTCTCTCATCTCACAGGTGAATAGACCTAAGTGAGCACTAAGGTTCTGTGGTTTTGGAACACCATTTTGTAAACATGTATTTTTTGTTTTAATGATCGTGTCCCGTTGTTGCTTTCTTTTGAATTCAATGGTTTTATCAATTAACTTATTAAATGTTAATAAATTAAAACTATCTTAGACTGGAATGCTTTCTGTAAAGACATACTTTGGGAAGAAGTGCCTGGAGGCTCCAGAAGAAATAGTTACAAGTGCAATTTAAAGTTTGTTATTCAGGGTATGACATAGTCTGTCCAATTTTCTAGCCTTCCTTATCTAGATCAATGTATGATGCTGATTATGCTACGGAATGTTCAAAGACTTACTGGTGTCGGCTCCGTTCTTTCAGCTTTATGTGTGTATAGTCAGTATTTATTTACATTCACACACAAAGATAACAAACTTAAGTGAAGATTTTATGCTTAGAAACTATATATCCACTCTGAATCACTACATATTCCCCCTATAGCATTGACTGTAATTTTCTTTATTTTTTAAAAATTAAAAAAAAAATTATCTTTGTATAGAAGAACTGGAGTGTAGGCCAGTGGTCTAGGGGTTGAGAGGATTCACCAGAGACAAAGTAGTGGATAGAACAGGTGCATTTACTGAAATATACCACTAAAGGGAAGAACAGACAAGACAGGAGAGGTCTGCTCCTCTCCTGTCATGCATCATCTCCCTGGCCGGATCAGGCCTTAGCAATGATAGATAGAGCTGAGACTTAACCCCTAGGCCACTGGGGAGGCCCTGACTATAAGTTGCTTGGGGATTTGAGGTACATGTTCTTATCATAGTTCCTATTTGTTTATTAGACTTATTAAAAGTGTAGCCAAGGAGAACTCCCAGAGATTATTTAGTCCAGCAATTTTTATTTAAAGATAAAGCAATTGAGATCTGAAGTATCAAAGCAGTCTAGCCACAATTGCAAAAGTATGTATTTATTTACTTACTTATATTATGATCACACAAGGTTATAATTAGTGTAGACTAACATGGAAATCCTCACTTGCTATCTCATGACCTATTCGCTGTGCTATGGAACAACCTCATGCCTCCTATCCTGTTTTTTGTTCTGTGTTATCCTAAAACAATCTTTCCAGTAGCCACCTTAGTCTATACTTTTCCCTTCACTAAATCAACCCCATCTGGCTCCTGAGAATCCCAGTGCCTTTTCCACGAAGACAGCCTCATCAACAAAATTTTCTCCTCCTCCTTTATAAAAGCTTTTAAGTGTTATCCTACAAAAACTTAGCTAAATTTTAAATTTCCCATTTTCAAATATAGTCAAGCTGGAATTATTATTTTTCTACCTGAGTTCTTGGGTTTTATTCTCTGGAATAAGTTGCTGCTGTTATATTCTCATTTATTTCAGTAAGATATATTTTCAGCAGATAGTGTTTGATTTTTCTTACCTGATTGCCTTTCTCCAAATTTTTGATCTCGCTTCCCCAGTCAAATGCCCGGAGTTCTCCAGAATTCACTGCCTAAAGTAACACAAAATTTACATGGCATCCAAATGTGTCTCTGGATAAAGATGGGCGGAGGGGTGGAAATACTCAGAGAGCAAAGGCTGAGGGCCCTCTTCTATTGAGCATTAGGATATTTTTCCAGAAATTATAAAGGCAAGAATTAAGCCCTTTCATGGAGAGAGGGCCCTTTCATGTTTACTTGACCACCTCATTATAAAACTCCACAAAGAGTGTCTCCACAGTAGACTGCATAGATGAGAATACTGTATCTCTCTCCTGGCTACTATGGGAAAACACCCGCTGGAGTGGTGATTCTGGGAGAAAGTGAGCAAAATTTAATCCAATTCAGAATATTTCTTTGGTTTTAATTATAAAGTCAATCTATTTTTTTTCTCACAAAGACATGCATACACACATATAAAATGTAACAGCGAGCTTAGGAGAAAAATTTGACTTTAAGTTGCTGTCCTAATATCCATCTTTATTTCTACAGCCAATCAGGTACACTAGAGGAACATTTATAATGAGCAGTGTTAGAGTTAGTGCTTCTTCATATGTGAAAGAGTCCTGGATAGTCACGTTGTCCTTGAATTAGTTCTGAATGTTGTGCTCAAATTCAATACCCGGGACCTTCAGACAGTTCGTTAGTCAGCCTGCTAATCAGGACTTTCCCTCCTGGGATTGCAGGTGAAGTCTATAGCACTAAGGATCCCTCTGAAGAGCTCTTGGGTAACTGGGTTCCTCTTAGCAAATTTTTGTTATTACTTGACCAAGCTGCTGGGGGAGCTGAAAAGGAAAATGTGGGAACAAGAACTTCTCCAGCCTCACCTTTGAGGTGACTAGAGGCAGACAGGCCTCTTTTGCACCATCTGAATTCACACTTTAAGATGCACTAAACATGTTCTTGGGTCAGTTCTTTCCTTCCATCTGCTGATAGGCTCCAACGCTCTACATCAAATTCATAGTTGAAATACCATTGACAGGACTACCTTTCATCTTAGAATAAATGTGAAATATTCTCTGGTTTGTCAAAAAGGCATCCTTTGACTATTTCAGACAAAATGAGCAAAAGTTGTTTGCAAAGAGCACCAAGTCTACCTTCTTACCTGGCTCCAGTGTAGGATATTTTGCACAGAAGTTCCTGCAGGAGTATGAGCGACATATACATTGGCTCGGCTCTGAAATAAAGCATGATTGGTTTGTGGGACATGGGAAAACTCACAAGATGGGCGCCTGGGCATTAGACTAAGAGACAGGAACATCGTTAAATTATCAGCAATTACCCATGAAGCAGTAACAAACATGAAATCAGCACATGAATGAAAAATGCCAAGAAATGTATTCCTAGTCACTGGTATTTTTCATCTGAGAAAAGCTTCTTATTAGAGATCTGACCTTTTGTTTTTTTAAAAAAAGCAAAACAAAGCATCCTTTACTAGAGTAATAAAGAAGTCTCTAGAATTGGGCCTGTAGTAAAATCCTAGCTCTGTTTTTTTTTTTTTTTCTTTAGGGGAATTTGGGAATTCTTAAATTCACAAAATCTCCTGATAGTAACATATCAAGAAAGGAATATTGATATCTGCCTCACAGGATTGTTTCAGAGAATAACATTGTCTGACACACAGATGTTTATTACATGGCATCTAATAAATATATTACTAATAAAGAATAAGAAGAAAGTCTCCAGGAATTGAAGATTATCCCTGCAGGTATTGGAAATGCTGCTAGGTCACCTTTGCTGTTGGGCTTCATTGAAGGATTGTTGGGCTCCCTTGCCCAGTGGATCCCTCATTCCTGCAGACTGGGTGATGTGGAAGTATAAAGGCCAGCCCTTGCGCCCTAACTTGGGATGGTCCAAGGGTCACCCCACCCTTACATGAGACTCTCCTTGAGATGCCCTCACAGCTCCACTTTCCACATTTGCTGTTTTCTTCCCTTTTCTAGTTGTTATCCCAAGGATATAACCCCCACATTGCGAAATCCACCATCCGTTAACTATGCCTCTGCCAAACAGAAACCCCCAGATAGCCTATTCACTTGACCTAAACTATAAGCCAGAAGGACACCAGATCTAGAGAGAAGGTAGGTTGATATAATACACTTCACTCCCTTGACCACTAGGTTCTAATTACTGATTTTAAATTGACCATTGTAAGGAAGCTTGCAAACTTCTTCCATCTATAATCTCCTCTGTAAAGGTGCCTCCAGATCTCACCCACCTATAATCTGTGAAGATCACATGGAGCAATGCCTTGAAGGTAAGCTTGCCTCAGTCCATGTTGAAACATATTATTATGACTCAGAGAAAACTGAGTTAGAAGGATTACATTTCTCTAAATCTTCAATAGGATTAGCTTACCCTCAAAGAATAACTCCTAACCTGACTTGGGAAATTGAGAATTTATGAAGTTCCTGCTTACCATGTTCATATTGTTTGCGTTGAATCCTCCCAGAAGTAACATGATATTGCTACAAATCTGGTCAATAATCACCTGGCCACACAGGTAAATAACAAACTGTCTGAGAAATCTGGTTTGGTACAGAAATTCTTTTTTGCCAAACAATCCCTGTAAAAATATGAAGTGGAGTAATAGTCATTACATTCTAGTCAAGAAGTAGCTCTAATTTGAGAGTATATCTTAGAAAATTGGGCTGGGAGGAATTAAGTGAAGAGTCATATACCTTGATCATCATGTCTGGCAACAACAGGAATTTGGTTCCAGGGCTTTTTGCATGTTTAACAGTGGCTACGGGTGCTAAAGCAAAATTCATTTTGATTTTCTGAGCCAGTTCTGGCATGGTGGAAAATGCAATAAAGCCTACAAGAGAAAAATATATCAGCATGGATATTGACTCTTCTAGAGCTCAGAAATTGCTTCTTTCACTTTTATTGAGCTATTTCAGTAATTGTGTGTCATTATATCTTAACTCTTATATGCAATGATAAACTTTTTGAGAAAAACAAACAAACAAAAAAATACCAGCAGTAAAATCTCGTCTGTGTCCCCTAAGACATCTAGCTTTCCAGTAGTGAGTTCTCATTCAATTATTGAATTATTGAGTCTCATAACATGGATTTTTGGAAATATACACACACATACTCAGACTCATATGAGATTTCAGAGTAGATGACCAGCTAGCATGGATCTCAGACTGTAACTACATAGTGAAAAATTTGTTGTGAGAAAAATAAGGCAGAACAAATACAAAATACATATATGTGTGTGTATGTGTGTATCCATCTAATTGCTAGACACATTGCTGGGGACTTTCATAGGTCTTACCCCATTTAATTGTCGAACTCCTTTGAGATCTTTTTAATAAATATCTACAGTGGCAGCTACAGAAAAATATAGGTATCTCTTTATTAAAAAGCAATCTTTTTTTTATCATAAGGGTCACTGAATTTATTTTTTTAAAAAAGCATATTCTGAGGCCTCTCTGGGTGCCAAGGAGTTAAGTCTCAGCATTATCCCCACTAAGGCCTACGTGTGATCCCCAACCAGGGCACTGACCCACATGGCACAGCAGACATTTCCTGTCTCTCCATTTGCTCCTCTCAGCAGTGTATTTTAGTGAATCTGCGGGTTCTGTTCCCCACTTTGTCTCTGGTGAATCTCTTACTCCCACACTTCTGGCCTATACCCCACTTCTTCTATGAAAAAAAATTAAAAATCATGTTCTGTAACATCATGAGTATTAAGAAACAAGGCTTTTGATATCTAATTTTTCTGGGACCAATTGTAATAATCTCATTTATAAGTTGTTTAATTAACTTTAACTTTAGAGAATAAGAATGGGACCATGGTTAAATCAGCTTGTTACTCAGGTTTTTTTTTAATCTATAAAATAAGACAAATCCCCTGACTTTGGAAGAAAAAAGCTATTATATAAAGCTAGAGGAAGGGACCAACATTTGAAACACTATGTGCCTATTTCAAAAAGGCCTAAGTATTCTATGGCTAGGTTGGTATTCATAAGTTATGGGAGAGGGAAGATAAACAGGAAAACTGGAATCACACGACTTCTGGAATCATGACTTCTGACTGGTTCCAGAAAGTGAGTAGTAAGAAAAATGATTCTCTTGCTGCTTCCCACCCCCCTCCCAAATGATTGCCATGTACATGGAGACCCAAGAATGATATGTTGTTATTAACTCTTGTTTATCTGGCTGTACCATAGGTAGAACTGGATGAAAATATATTTAGAAACATGAAACTATTTACCAGATTAATTCTAATCATTAGAACCCCTATCAAATATTAAGATTTGAAACTCTAGATAATTTTTCTGGGCAAAACCTTTCTTGAGGCCAATCAAGTTCAAGTTCTCTATATTGACTACCCCATGGCAGAAACTACTCGAAGAATCCTATATTTTTCTGCATTTTCCTTTCTCTCAAAATAGCTTTTAGCCTCATTATTAGCATCTTTGTCTTTATGTCAAGTTGAACAACTCGAATGTCAAGAGAAAACATTTTGAAGGGCCTCTGGATATTAGAGTAAGAGCAGATATATATAATATTTTACCTTCCTTCGGGACAATTAGGATAACTTAAATGACATTACTTCTCGGCCTTTTGGCTAAGATCAAGTGTAGGATAACTTAAATCACTTTAATATTAATGCAAAAATCCAAAAGGAAAACGTGAAATTCAGATTCATTTCCTTCAGAGCATCAATTAAAATGAACCAAATGAACTTATGTTCTTAGTTACAACAATCCTCAAGATTCACAATTCAATTTTATTTTCATAAGTCATAGTGAATAAAGATCACAATTTCTGGGAATGTTCTATAGGATAAAAGCCCATGGAGCATGGTGGTATCTAAGAAGCTGCAATGAATCTGTTTTCCCAAATGATCCAGGCAGTATCATGTTTATATTAATAAAAGAGAAGGATGAGATTCAATCAAAAATAGCCCTCTGTTGTGCTGTGTTTAACCTACTAAAGGGTTGGTTTAATCCTAGCAGGTCAACTACCTGCACTAGCTTCTGAGTTAAAGAGGTCAGGACTGCAGGCCCTATAGGTTAGTCTTTGCAGTCAGTTTGCCACAAGTCTCAGTGTGACTCTCAGAGAGAACAACGGGATGAATGGGAGAATCCCCTAGACACACTGCACTTTCATCAACACTGACATCTCCCTTCAAGGTGGCTTCTTTCTCCATTGAAATTTCTCAGTGTAAGTATGGGGTCCTCTCCTTGTTTGAGGACTCAGTCTACACCTAAGGATTTCAGGGAGCTATTTAAATGCCTCTCCATTGTGGCCGATACAAAGTTAGCCAAAGGTGAACTCATGACTTGAGGGAAAATATGAGATAGTCACTGTAACTTTTGCAGAATCAAATGTCCTGGCAAATTACTGTCAGTGGCTGCAGTGACTGTATGGTCTGCTGGGTCTCAGAAACCCAAGATTCAAGCCTCTGTAGTGTGTTGTTGAAGTAAGGGAACAAAGAACTTTAGTTAGCTAACAGCTGGTTGAGATTTTTTTCACGATTGACTTTAATTATGACAGTGGGTTTTGTGGGTAGTTTATTTCTTGTTTTATTAAAGGAATATGACAAGAACTAAGGGCATTTACCTAAGAAGTGGTGGAGCCAGTATTTTTTTTTTTAAAGATTTATTTATTTGTGCATACAGAACTGGGGTACAGGCCAGAGACTCAGGGGCGGCGAGAGGCTTCACCAGAGACAGAGTGGGGAACAGAACAGGCAGATCGACGAAGTACACTGCTGAGGGGATCAGCGGGCGGGTCAGGAGAGGTCTGCCACGCCATGTGGTCGCCTCCAGGGCAGGCGGGAATCAAACTCATGCGGAAGTGGCTTTAGCTTCTCAGTGCAGTGCTTTAACCCGCTGCGCCACCAGGGAGGGCCAGAGAGCCAGTATTTTTAATCCACATCTGTGTGATCTCAAAGCCCTTGTTCTTTCTACCATCCCACAGACCTCGCTCAATTTCATCCCCATTTCCCAAAGCCCTGGGGTCACCGAAGAGGATGGCTCGAATCTGAGAGAAACACAAGATGACGGATCCCAGGCATAGTTGGGCACCACATGTTATATTTTTTCCGAGCATACAAACCTGGTTTCTTTGAACCTACCCATGGTGGTGCCCTGTGAATAGCCGACATAATAGATCTTTTCCTGGCCCGTTTTCTGCAAAATAAAGTTTATGACTGCAGGAAGGTCAAACCTAGCCATCTCATCATAACTACAAGGGGAAAAGACAAAGTCATAGGAAAAATTATAATCAGAAGCAAGCAAAGTCACCCCCAGGCTTTACAAGCAAGATCTTGAGTCATCAGCCCCAACAGCTCTTTAGCGTGCCCCTCACCACTCTCAAAATGGACTAGTTTGAACCTATGATTTACAGATCAGAGGCTGTTAGCAAACTGCTGTTTTTTCCAGATGTTACCATAGAACGATTACCATCTTCAGTGAATAGTGACTGAGCACTTCCATCTTGTAGTGGAGATATCTTGTTAGCAGAACAACACAGGGCCATGCAGACTGTCTTATTTGAAAGTATTAAAGTTGCTGCTAGGCCCCTTCTCTGATGAAATGTATAAAGATCAAATTAAATGTCATCGGTAAATTAAATAAAAACATTAAACCATTTTTTTGCAAGAGTATGACAGATGTATTTGTGACATTGCCGATCTTATTGTGTCTTTAATATACATGGGCCCTGTCTTCACTCATGAAGAGTTAGTTCCTGATTCCCTATCTACAAAGCCATTTTATCTCAATCACTGGGCCACAAGCACCATTCCTATTAGCCAGACCCAACCTTTCTACATGGGGAACCCAATCCTCCCTACTACTTTCCTCCCAAATCCTAACTTACTAATTAATTAAAATAACTGGGGGAAATCATGTAAGATATTAATGACCCAAGCACACAAATTTGCTGAATAGTAAAATCATCATTCTTCACCCGCTTCTCCCAAAGACATCTATGATCATCTCCATTCTTAAGATTTTCACCTACCTGAAGGCCCAGAACTCATCTTGATCGATGGAGAGTCTCTTGTGTTTCCGAGACCAGGTGTTCCCCCTGCTGTTTCCCATCCACACGTCAAAGCCAGCATCTGCCAGGATGAAGCCCAGGCTGTTGTTGGGCAGGTTTGAGATCCAGTTGCTGGCATCACCAAGGAGGCCATGCTGCAGTAACACCACAGGCTTGGAGCCTAAGGAAAAAGAATGGAACTGTGTAAAATGATCACGTCTGTTCCAGTCAGGCTCTGGCTGGCCTGATCTATCTGGAGAGTAGCTTAAAATCTCGTTGTCTTGATTTCCTTGATAGGAAAGTAGAAGCTCTTTATAACTGACATTCCATTGGTTTGTATAATTATGTTTCAACAATATGACTTCATATCTTGACAAAAGGATGTTCATATTAAAACAAAAGGAACTTGTATAACTCAAATGCAAAAGAAGTGGATAAAGAATCTGAAATGACAGTTTGCCAAAGAAAATACACAAATGGCCAACAAATTCATGAAAAGCTGCTCTCCATCACTAATCACCAGAGAATGACATATCAAAACCATGCCCTGCTAGAGATAACCTCACATTCCTTAGCATACCTTTTATCAAAAAGAACAGTGTTAGTAAAAGGGAGAACTCAGGAAAAAAGGGAACTCTTAAACAGAAGGGGCAGAATGTAAACTGATATGGTCATTATGGAAGACAGTGTGGAGATTCCTCAGAAGTGAAACATAGAACTACCATATAATCTAGCAATCCTGCCTTTCGGATTCCAAAGGAAATGAAACCAGTATTTTAAGGGAATAGCTGTACCCCGTATTCATGGTAATATTAAGAAATATACAAACAGGCCCTCCCTGGTGACGCAAGGGGTTAAAAGGCAGCGCTGCAAGCCAGCCGCAGCCACTTCAGTACAAGTTCAATCCCCAGCCCCGGAGGTGACCCACATGGTGCTGCAGACCTCTCCTGGCCTGTCCGCTGCTCCCCTCAGCAGTGTACTTTGTTGATCTGCCTGTTTTGCTCCACACTCAGTCTCTGGTGAATCCTCTCACCATCCCTGCACCTTTGGCCTGTACCCTAGTTCTGTATGCATAAATAAATAAATCTAACAAAAACAAAAAGAGAGAGAGAGAGAGAAGATGCAAATAGCCTAAGTATCCATTGACTAGTGAGGCTGGAGGAAATCTGATATGTAAATATGTGTATACATATATGCATATATATATGTGTATATATATATATATATATATATACATAGATATATATATAATATATATATCCATATGCATTATTTAGTCACGAGAAGTACAACTGGGTGGTCCCTAGGAAAAGGGGAAATTCTAGGTTCCCTGCCCCACCCAGAGGGAGGGTGGAGCTGAGAAGAGAAAAAGAGAAAAGAAGGAATCTGATAGGAAGGAAGCAGGATAGAGAGCCAGGAGACCTGAGATAGCCACATGGAACAAATGGAGGCATGTGACGAAACCCTGTTTATTTCTTAGCCCTGGGCTGGTTAAGGCAGATGTGAGTGAGAGACCCGTGGGGAGGGTGACTGTGGCAGCTTTTATCTTAATTTTGACTTTGCTCTTTTCCTCCCAGACATGTCTGGCCATCTCTGACCCTTTTCTATGGGTTCCTGCCAGAAGGTGCTTTAGTCTTGTGGTAGGCATTCAGGCCTTGCTTTGGGCCAATCCCTTTTGGGTTGACTTTTGCCCACGAGGGGATGGGTAACTTCAGGTGTTTGATTTAGAAATTATTTTCTTTGTCTTCCGTATTGTATACTCACTGTATTAAAGTTCCTTTTCATTATAGTCTCATAGGTTTTGTCTTGATGCGGCAGATGGCAGAATCTATTTAGAGCAGGCAGGTTTGGGGGTTCAGTGGTGCCCCTCTCCCTGCCCTGTAACAGAAGGAAGAAAATCTTTCCATTTTTGACAACATGAATAAAACTGGAGGATATTATGTTAAGTGAAATAAGCCAGACAGGGGGAGATATACCTTATGTGAAATACAAAAAACAACAAAAAAAGAACTCATGGAGACAGCAAATAGAACAATGGTTACCAGGGACTGGGGAGTGGAGGAACGGGGGGATGCTGTCAAATCACACAGGTCCTCAGCTTCAAGGCGAATAATTTCTGGGGTTCTGGTATACAGCACAGTGACTATAGTTAATTATACTGTGTTGTATACTTGAAATGTGGTGAGAATACATCTTAAGTAAACTCATGATATACCCAAAGATAAATAAAATCCTAACTATTGAGTTGATGGATGTGTTGATTAACCTGAGTGTGGTAATTATTGCACAATGCATACACATGTCAAATAATCACATTGTACACAAACAACATTTGGTCAATTAGACATTAATGAAGCTGAGGAAAAAAGAAAAACATCATTAGTATGGACTACGTCATCACCATATGGTTTCATTATATGATGCCAGAAAGGCTCAGCTTCACTTCTGAGCTATTCCCGCCAAAATGTATAGCCAGAAACACACCATGAAGAAACTTCAGATAAATCAAGTCAAAGAGTTCCCTGTAAAATGAGTTTCTAAAACTCTTTAGACACCAAGGTCAAAAAAGAGGGAAAAACAAAAACAAAAAAACAAACCTGAGAAATATATTCAGGTTATAAATTGATACAGTTATTATAGAAAGTATTATGGAAGCTCATTAAAAATTTAAGATAGCATTAGCAAATAATCCAGTAATCCAACTTTTGGGATTAAAATGAAATCATACATGACAACTAAATGTGGTGTGTGAACCTGGATAAAACCATGGACGAGGCAAGGAAAAAAGACTATTAAGGGAATTTGGCACACTTGACAAAATTTGAACATGAACGGTGTATAAGATACTAATATCAATCAAGTGTTTCTTATTTTTTTTTAAGATTTATTCATTTATTCATATAGAACTGGGGTACAGGCCAGAGATGCGGAGGATGAGAGGAGTCACAGAGACAGAGTGTGGAGCAGAACAGGCAGATCGACAAGGTACACTGCTGAGGGGAGCAGCGGGCGGGCCAGGAGAGGTCTGCCACGCCATGTGGACTCCTCCCGGGCAGGCGGGAATCGAACTCATTGCGGAAGTGGCTTAAGCTTCTCCGTGCAGCGCCCCAACCCGCTGCGCCACCAGGGAGGGCCCAAGTGTTTCTTATTTTTAATAAACAAATTGTGATTTTAGAAGCTCGCATCCTTCATGGTGAAGGGGATCCTCAAATATGCCACACCGGCACAGAAGTTTTTCTGGAATTCCTAATCTGTCTAAAAGCACTGCCTCAAGAAAGAACTGTTTTCAAAAAAGCCCCTTCTTTGGAAAAATCTGAATTTTCACAGAAGTTGGCACCATAACCAGACAAACATTGTCGCAACTGAAAGTATCTGTCCTTTGTTTTCCGGAAGGCCCATTAATTTTTCCAACAAGTCATTTGCTTTCTAGTTTTTTTCTCTTCCTTTCCCCTACTGGATTCTAACTACCCCTTTGAGCACTCATCTCTAACTGCTTCCTTATCTGTCTGCAGTGGCCATGCTAATAAGCCTGCTTTTCTCTTGTTAATCTGTCTCTTGTTAATCTATTTTCCAGGGTTCCAGGGGAAACCTAAAATGACTAGGGAAAAAAAGATTTTCCTGCCCAACATCAAGAAATGCATCTTGAAATATTAAGGGTGACATGATATAAAAATTTACTATCAAAATATTTTTGTAAAAATAATATAGGCGAGAGAGAAAGGGAATAATAAAGTGAATGAAGACAAAATGTAATTTTCACAGGTAAATCAGAGTTAAGAGTATAAGGAGCGTCCCTCTACTATTCTAAGAACACTTCTGTAAATCTGAAATGATATCAAAATGAAAATATCAGTAAATGATACAGAAGGTCTAGGGCTTTAGAAATTTTAATAAGTTAGTGAATTGTGTAAATTCATCATTTTTGTATATTAGCAATTAATACTTGTTAAAAACAATAATACAGGCCCCAAAGGAGTTGCTTAGACTAAGCTCCATGTCATCAAGCTAAAGAGTTCACTGAATTGTAGTTTCAGGTTCAAGAAATGGACTCTAAACCCAGCCATCAGTGATCACCTCATGGACATTCATTGTCCTCTGCCTGATTCCCCTTAGTATCTCCTGAAGGAGAGTGGCCTTGTTGTAACCAAGCCACTTTTCTGCTTAGCCTAACTTCCTGGTTCCAGTCCTTTCTGTTCCACCTCTTCCACTTTGCTTGGAGCGCCTTTCTCCCTGTTAACTGGATGCTGCCGACTTGATAAATCAGTTGATATGTCTAAAGAGTCTTTAAAATTTACTCAGTTGAGTTTTTTAAAAACATACTGGAGGAGTAAGAAAATTTGCATATTTAGAAGGAAAAAAAAATCATGTTCTTGACAGGAGCATAAAAATTAACGATAGATCATCACTGTAAGCTTCACGCCACAGTTCAGGTCTTAAAAACTGTTTTCCTGTCGCTGTTGTTGTTATTGCTGTAACTTACTATGAAATTCTCACAGGGCTTCAGTGCTTCATAGCAACACAAGTCACAAACCTCACCAGATTTTGAGGGACCGCTTATTAAATGGTAGCTCCCCGTTGCTTTGGGAACTGAATTCTTAAAGATTTATTTATTGATGCATACAGAACTAGGGTACAGGCCAGTGTTGCAGGGGCGGTTACAAGGATTCAACAGAGATAGAGTGGGGAACAGAGCAGGCAGATTCACTGAAATACACTGCTGAGGGGAGCAGTGGGCAGACAGGAGAGGTCTGCTGTGCCATGTGGGACTCCTCTCTATTGGGGGATCCAACTTGGTGAAGTGGCTGCTGCTCAAGCGGCTGCAGCTTCTAGAGCTGCTCCTTTAGCCAGTTGTGCCACCAGGGAGGGCTCTGAGAACTCAGTTCCTAAGTAGCCTCTCTATAGGGGAAAAGACTTATACGACAAACACTTCCAGCCTTTGGGCCATCTTCATAATTCCATTTGCCTTATTTACCCCTGTGGTAATAGAGAAATTTACTGCTGTGAAGTACTAGGGAAAGGAAGTCAGAGGCATTTCAGGTTTTCCTTTTTATCTGGTTATTGAATTCATCCTCCTGACTCTCAAGGAGGTGTCTTTAACTGTGTCATGAGGAAATCATATCAAAATGGATCAATGCTCCTCACAATCCCTCACCATTTCCAAGGCTGGACTGTTTTGATACAATACTTTAGCACCTATGGTTCACCTGGTGATAGAATTGACTTGTACGCGATTTCCTTCATTTCATACACACCCTAGAATCATAGTCTTTCATTTCAGTAACAGACAGTCGGCCAGTAACGCTAAAAAAATAAAAATAAAAAACATCATTCCTGAGGCTACACCAGCTTATTTTCTCCCTCCATGAAAATATTTAAAACTAGCAATTTGATGAAGTATGATAAAATATTTTATCAAAACTTAAAGACATTTTCCAGCTGTTTTCAGGATGAATTTCATTGGCCTTCTTTTGAAATGGTGAGAAATCTTTTTCCTCCTGTGCTGGGAGATTTCCTTTTTGAAACTAATGGGAGCAGTAAGAACAGCACCGGTCACTAGGAGGAGGTCGGGGGCGTATTCTGCACTGACTGGCTGGGGAAAGGCTAATGGTACCTGGAACCCCCAACTCTTTCGCAACAGATTTGTATGCAACAGTCTAGGAAAATACAAAGGGCTATAGGACTCCGAAGCTTCTTTTCACTTATTTACATAAAAATTCATTCATTCATTTAGCATATATTTATTGGCACCTACAATGTGCTTGACACTCTACTAGGTTATTGGCTGTAGACATGAATGCCTATTGAGTTTATATTTCAGTTGAGAGGAGAGAAAATACAAAAACCAAATATCAATTTGCCATGGGAAACCTCAGGTATTAATACCAGATGGTGATATACACTACAAGGAAAAGTCAGCAAGAATGAGGGAGGATAATAGGATAAAAGAGCTGTTAGTTTGAATAGGGTAGTTAGGGAAAGGTTAAGATAGAGCAGGGAAAGGAACACAGTGGAGGCTTGAAAGAATTGGGAAAACAAACTATGTCACTATCTGATATATCGGTGGTACAGAGGGAGAGTTGTAAATTCAAAGGACCTGAAGTGGGAGTGTATTGAATATACATAAGGCACAGCTATGCACTGGTAGGAAAAACAAAAAATGTTGGTTTTCAAAAAGCACCACAACAGCAAGTTGGAATTAATACACAACACCCAATAACATTTGCCCGGCATTTGCTGATTCTAATTAAGAACATGGGCAATAGCGACAGGCAGGCCTTAATTTAAACGCAGGTTTTGCAAGGCGCTAACAAGTACTAACCAGAGACTTCTGGCGAGTTATGCTGTGTATTCTGAGTGTCCTAAGATTATTGTGAAAGTTAAATGAGACTAAAGCAACTAAAGCATTTAGAAATGTACCTGGCATTTAGAGAGAACACGATAAGAAATTATATTCTCTGTACTCATGACAGATAATGTAGTCGCTAGTATCAACCTAAAGCTAGCGTAGCAAAAAGAACAGAGCCAAGTAGAGATGGAGGCTTAGCACATTCAGTTAGTGATGACAGTACATTTCTTAAAAGCTAACAATGGCTAAAAGTTTCACATATGAAAAGGGGGATTATACAAACTATGGAAATATATATTCCCCAAGTTTAAAATGTACCTATAGTGCTTGATTATTTAAAAGAACTTAGTGGAAATCTGGGAAATATCTTAAGCATTTAACATGCTATTAGGATGAGAAATATATAGTAGGCAGGTGGTGGACACAGAACCACACTGGAATGTGCTTTTTTTCACAAGCTGGAGTTGGTGTAGTCTACTCAAGTGCTCACCAGTGGACATTCTATAGAGATAGCTCTATAGGAGAGGCTTAGAGAAAATGCTAGAGGGATACATGAAATTGAGTTTCCTTGCAGAGTTCTTTCTTTCTTTCTTTCTTTTTTTTTTTTTTTGAAACAAACACTGTATGCTTATTTGGAGATAAGACAATGGTGATATGGACTATGGAAGAATCTCAAGTCATCTTATGACATGAAAGTGGACTCTGGGCTGTACCTAGAAATCTTAGTCCTTCAACACACTCAAATCACAAAAATTCATCACTTAAAATAAGTCTGTTATGTTGGGATGACACGGAATGAATCATACCTCTCTTCTTAGTTTGCACTAGACCTTGAGGAATTCTGTTAATGGAAAGGATATAGTCATCTTCTGTTGTAACTTCATACTCTTCACAGGGATAGCCTTTATGTAGAATGATTTCACTCTATGGAACAAAGACAATTTGTGGTGAGTTCAGTTCTGTATGGCAATATTCCCAATAATCCAAAAGTAAATAATAGATTCCTTGATGCTAAAGACAAGAAATCCTTTACTTTTTCCTAGCCTATCTTGTTAATCTTAGAATTCATCAACTCTCTGCAGCCCTCATTTTCTTTGTTTAGTGTAGAGACTGAAGTAGCATATTGATTTTTAAAGTGTGGGCCCTGGACCAAAAGCATCAGCATTGCGGACACTTACTAACATATAGAGATCAGTTTCTACCCAAATCTACCGAGTTCAGAATTCAAGAAGTAACCTAGTAAAATGTCTATTTTTAAAAAAGATTTATTTATTTGTGCATACAGAACTGGGGTACAGGCCAGAGGTGCAGGGGCAGCGAGAGGTTTCACCAGAGACAGAGTGGGGAGCAGAACTGGCAGATCGATGAAGTACACTGCTGAGGGGAGCAGCAGGCAGGTCAGGAGAGGTCTGCCATGCCATGTGGTCACCTCAAGGGCAAGTGGGAATTGAATTTATGAGGAAGTGGCTTTAACTTCTTAGTGCTGTGCTTTAACCTGCTGTGCCACCAGGGAGGGCCGATCTGTGTCTTAATAGGTTTTTTTTTTAGGAATTCTGATACACTCTAGTAATTGATAACCAGTGGACCAGAACAGACTCGGAAATTCAGCTGTATCAGAGTTATCTGGAATATTTAAATATTCAGATTACAGAAGTCACTGCTCACTTCATATTTGGGATCGGGAAATTCTAAAGCAGCCTGTGAGGTACTTCTAGGATGACTCAGAAGGTTATACATTCCCTAAAGATTCTCCTTCTCTAAAGCCATACATTCAAAAGCAGTAGTTCTAGTAGTTCTTAACATTTTTAGATAAAGAATCCCTTGGTGAGTATGAGAAGTATAAAAATGGATATACATATTGAAACATTTTCATTTTTGTCTACAATTTTAAAGAGTTCACACCGTTGTCAATATATGGACCTCTGGTTTAATATGGACCCCTATTTTATACCATTTTACATGTAGCAATTCTTTATAAGATATGAACCTCAGAGAATTTCCTAAGTACCCTTATTATTTTTGCTTACTGTTATCACCCAGAGATGAAAGAATTATTGCTATTAACATCATGTTAAAAAGAGGAAAAGAGGACATTCCCAAAGTAGTGTATGGAATAAAACAGCATTGTAATTAAGAGAAAGGCCCTGCAGTTCTACTGTTTGAGTTTTAATGTTGACTCCATTGTAAGAACAAGCTGTATGGTCTTAGGACATTTAGTTAACCCATTCCCATTTCTGTTTATTCATAAATATACCAATGATTTATATTCCCTGGGATTATTGTAAGGAATATAAAAAAGACAATGCATCAACACTAGTTTGCTTGACACATAGTAGGTATCCAGTGAGCATTATCTACTGCTATACTTGAAAATAATTAACCAGGCCCTCCCTAGGTGCAACAGGTTAGGATGCAGCACTGCAAGCTAGCGCAGCCACTTCAGTGCGAGTTCGATCCCTGCCCTGGAGACAGCAGGGATGGCGTGGCAGACCTCTCTTGACCTGCCCTCTACTCCCCTCAGCAGTGTACTTCATCAATCTGCATGTTCTGCTCCCCACTCTGTTGTCTCTGGTGAATCCCCTCACTTCCCTGAACCTCTAGCCTGTACCCCAGTGCTGTATGCATAAATAAATAAAATATTTAACAAAAATAATTAACCAGATCTTATGGGAAGTGGTGTGTATGCATGTGGTGTATGTGACACCATTATAACTTAACCTCAAAGAAATTATAAACCAGTGTTCTCAAATTTTATTGTGCATAAGAATTATTTGGATGATTTATTAAAATTCAAATAGCTGTATTACACTGTGAACAATCTGCTTTGATTGGTCTGGAAAAGATTGGAAGAAATGACATTGCTGATGTAAGAACTAATCTTCGAAAACCAAGTTGCAGATGACTTGAGGAGGAAATATATAAGATACAAGAATAGTAGACATCTAACAAATTTTTAGTATGTACCTATGGTAAGTAATATATCAAATAAGGGAGGAAGGATACTAGCAAATGAAAAAGCAAAGGGATTCTGAGTTGTAAAAGTACTGTGAGCAGGCCTCTTAAGGCAAGGGCTCAGGAAGGAGCATTTGAATTGGGTCTTGAGGGGTGAGTAGGAGTTATCCAAAAGAGCAAAGGAGTTAGGCACAGAAGTATGAATATCTTGGAAGAAAAAAACCTACAGCCACAGTCAACATAGTCTGTAGACGACAGATAATCAATCAACTATGCTCAACTGGAGGGTGCATGTAAGATAATAATTGGACATACCTTTGTAAACATAAAAATGTAGTCCTCAAGCAATTAGATTCTGAAGGGTATAGGCATTATTTGTAAACTTATAAATTTGTAAACCATTTTGAGGGAAGTTTTTCTATCTATCCATCCATCCATCCATCCATTCATCATCTCTCTCTATATTTACAAGTTATTAATATTTAACTTTTAATTCTACTATGCATTCTAACAAGGTGGCCTCATACTCTCAAATAATTCCTATTCATTTTTCTTCAGACAACCTTCCTAAATTCCCTTAACTAGGCACTTCTATTTTATATTTTCTTTTCTTTTGATCTCAGTACTCTTACAATGAATAATAGTGTTTCCTGCCAAACCGTAAGCTCCATGATGTCTGGGCTTTGATATTTTTACATTTCTTTGCAACCTCAGTGCACAGCACAGTAAGAGATTTAGAAGGTGCTAGAAAAACAGGTGAGTTGAATACCAAGATATAGCTAGATTATATTCCACATAAGACAGTCTATACAGTCAAACCAATTCAGACTCTGAACTACTTTTCAACAATTTCCTATTTTATTTTGCTTTACTAGGCATAGTTGCTCAATAGCAGAATTCAATTTAATGAATTTTAATCTTAGCGTTCCTGAAACACCAGCAGTGTGTAGGTGCTAGGCACACCTAATGGGTGGGTCCAGGAAAACTGACACTGCTGCAGCTAAAGAGATTACCTCCACCTCAGACACTTGAGAAGATCCTCAGGGCCAGAAGGATGGATACTTAGGTCTACACCAATGTTCCAAATATTGGGACAAACCATCTAAAGACAATTTATCATTGAAATGGTCAAAAGAAACTTGTTTTTTGCAATTTTTGATTCATAAAACTTGTACTGCTTGTGAGCATTTTAAAACCCATTCATGAAGGCTACTGCAAAAGGAGCCTTAAATATTACAAAGGTATGTTAAATCTATGCTAAATTTATGGTATGTGAGCATTACATACTATCATCTTACTCATCTGAAGGTAGCCTCTCCTTCTCATCTGGGAGGATCTATTGCATAGTGGTTATAATTATAAGTTTTGTGTGGAGGCAGGTCTGGATTTAAATTGTAGCTCTACTGTTCATCAGCAACATGACCTAAATTAAGTTGCTTAATCTCTTGTATCTATTTCTTGATTTGAAAATTAGGGATGATCATATCTATAGGACATTGCAATGGAGATGAAATGAAATAGTATCTTTATAGCTTTCATCACAATTTATGTTATGGAATAAGAGTTACTATATGGCAGCCATGATTAAAATCTGACAATGAATTTGTAAGTAAGCCAAAAATAAAAGTCCCTGGGATAAACAGATATCACATCATTCATGCATTTTACTCTCAGAAAGCCTTCTTGAGCATTCATTAGCTTCCTATAGTTGCCAGTCAATAGAGTTACAGGTCCCAAATAGGATACAAAGAACAAATCAGAGTGGCATAAGATGGAACTAGAAGTGGAACCTTGATAGTTAGTAGGGGTTACCAACTATCCCATGTAGGAAAAAAGTAGAAAAATCACAGAAAATAGAAATTGAGAATCTGTGCTTAACCCCTCCAAAAAGAAATGATTTCTATGCTCATAGAATGAATCGATGAATTGAAGAAAAAGCTAAATTATGTTGAAATTCAAAGGGATGGAGTAATTCATGCAATTTTACTGACTTTGTTCAAGGAGAATCCAGGTCCACTCACTTAAGTTTAGTATTCTTCCTAGTATAATATGCTAACTATAAAAGCATAGCTATACGATGCTTTTCCAGTTGTAAAAATTATCTACCACATATAAATAAATATAGCACATGTTGCAGATAACACAGAGATGCAAACAAAAAGTAAAGCACTTCATTTGGCCCCAAATATTATGGAAAATCCCAACTTACAACATTCATGAATGCTTCTGGGTCCACATCTTTAGTCGGCATACGTCCCGAATTCACATTTCTTTGGAACAGATACGCCACCAGAATCAGAAGCCATATCTCCATTCTGTGTGAAACAATCCATTCTCTTGACAAGATTTTTGACATGGTCCAACATCTGCATTTATTTTTTCTTGCTAATATAGTAACTCATTCTATAGTCAGCTGTTATCTGTAGGTGAAAATGTTCTTTCATATATTTTCCAGCTGTAATTTCTCCCCCAAATCCTGAAGCAAATTAAACAAACTTCGTTGATAGGAGTGGAAGAGCACAAGGTGGAATCAAAACATTATCTAGGATGGCCCAGTGGCCCCTCCCACTCCTCCCTCACCCAACAGGTAGTTCACCAATCCTTTAACGTCTGGGTGTGTAGAACTTTCTTTGATGCAACCTGTAGTTATGTGCATAAATTATTGCCCATAAAATGACTGCTTTTCATCATCAGGTAATGAATTAGGAAGCATCTTTTTCTTTTTCCCCTAGTTTCAGTCTTTCTCTAACAGATAGGTTTGGAGTCTGCAGGGAACATTTCAAGTTTCTATAGCTACATTCTAGGGTTTTAGTTATCACTATCCTGAGACTACTTGGCTGAAGATCAATGTAGTGAAAAGTATTTTTACTTAAAATGTTTTTTTTAAAAATTTAGGATGTTTTCTATTTTCATGTGGATGATAATCCTAATTTTTTAAAAAGGACTCTTTCATATGTTGAAAATTTCTGGCAAATTCAGCAAAATGCACAAGTACAAAAAGTTTTAATTTTGAGTTGTAACCACAGTTAATTACTGAGAGATAAATTAGATGCTACTTCGTAATTTAATCCCTGCAATAGTAACATGAATTGCAGCTTTATTATTTGCATGAATTGAGGTCTCAGTTCAATCAACTGTGTGGCCATATGAACAATTCCTTAGCCTACAAACATTTATTTAAACAGATCAGGAGGGTGGGTGACTGGCATTTAAAGTCAAGTCTGTGTTAAATTTTAAGAAAAGAATATTATAATTAAAAACTTTGTTTTACATCAGCTCTTCAACAGCAAGTCACACCAGTTTATAGACTTCTGGAATGTGGTTGGGGAAGGAACTGAAGCTGGAACAGGAATAATGAGTGTGTGGGAAAGTATCTGCCTACAGTCTCAGCCTCACCCACTCTGGGCTGGCTGAGTGCTGTAATGAGGTAAGCCTGCTGGTCTTATCTGGACTCATCTCCACATTTCCATTATTGTTGATCTGATACAGGCTAAAGAGGAACAAAATTACCTAATTCAGAATTCATCTAACACTGCAGAGCCCACATCCTCGGTCTCCCTGAATTTAAACTGAGGTTATGCAAAAAAAGATTTTTAAAAATATCTTTATTTTAAGGTTAATATTTACGTGCTAACCTTTCAGTCAGCTGAGAGAAATTTGCAATAATGTGATCCCTTGAAAACTATGGCTACCTGATTCTCAAAATTATGGGTTTGTTAAATTTCCAACCTTAGGCAAGAAGCTGCATTTTTCTTGATACGTATGACTTAAATTTACTCATCTATCTATTCTTACGTTAATCTCTCCACACCTCACATCATGTCTATAGATAGGCTAAGATTTTAGGCCCTCCCTGGTGGCACAACCAGTTAAAGCACAGCATTCTGAAGCTGTCATAGCCACTGCTGCATGAGTTTGATTACCAGCCAGGGAGGTGACCCACATGGCACTGCAGACCTCTCCTGACCTACCCGCTGCTCCCCTCAACAGTGTATTTTTGTTAATCTACCTGTTCTGCTCCCTACTCTCTCTGGTGAATCCTCTCAACCCTTCCACCTCTGGCCTGTACCCCAGCTCTGTATGCCTAAATAAATAAACCTTAAAAAAAAAGGAACTCTTGTTTCTGCTGTTGACACTTTATGATTTAAAATGTTACATAGCCAGAAAGGAAAAAAATATATAATTAAACTCTACCATTTTTAGAAATATGAAGGTATGTTTAATTTGCTCAACAATATCTAACTAGGTTGTATTGTAACAAGGCCACAACTAAAATTCAGATATTGTAATCTGTTGCTCAGTATTATTACCAAACGGAAAAAAAATTAACATTTCAATATCCTCTTCCTTATTCAAAGACAAAATCTCAACTATTATTAAAGGCAATTACAAAAAATCCTGTAAATTATGTCTAATTAGTTTTCTTTTGGACTTAACAGTTAAAATAATTCTTAGTAATTTCATCATACATTTGGCATGCATACTCACATTTGTTCCAATATGGCCAGGTGAACTTCTAGTGCACTTGCAAATACTCTATTAATGAAAGAATCGATGCCAATAGATCTGTTAGTTCAGAATAAGTCCTTTATTTTAGGTAGTAGAACTACTTCCATTTACCCTTTAAAAATTATATCCTTTTGGGTATAAGCATAATTCAGAGAAAATACAATTCTATTTGGAATTTAATTTCTTGGAGAGTATTGTAAGATCATACGTATCATTTTGGAAGCAGGAAGGTGACATAGTCCAACTGAAAAAAATTACATATTGAGCAAATGCAAAATGGCTACTGTTTTTCCACAATGGGAGAATTTTAACAGTGCCTAGGTCACCTTAGCAACCAGAGTCCATGGAAAATATCAGAAGTGTTATAAAGAGAGATGGAAGATCCAGATGTGCCAATATACATTCCAATTTGAATAATTTATCTTGAGATACTCGTCTCTCGAGGTTTCTGTGAAGGAATTCTATGGTATTTTAAAATGGGATTTACCATTTTTCTCTACAGAGAAAAATATGAAGTACTCCAAGATCTTGAAACTAAAAAAATGGTCCCCTTTAATATGCAAGGTCTATGAATATCAACATTGTACAAATCAGCAGGTCAAATAGAGAAAGAAAAGCTTTCTAAGAAAAGGCTGAAAAATCAACATGCAATGTTGTATTCTATGTGTTGAAACTTTAAAAATTGAAACAAAGAAAACCAGTAACATGAGTTAAAAAAAAAAAAACCTAGAAAAAGCAAAACCTTGATGCTGTGAAAGAATTCCTCTTTTTTTAAAGTAGCACATGAAAGAATGTTAGTGCTGCTTTCTCCAATATTGAACTGAGTTATATTAAATCAATTATTTCAGAAGTTTTAAACCAAAATCTTGAGTACAGTATGGGCTGTGTCATGATTTGTTTTGTGACCATCATATGATATACCCCAGAGATGGTTCTATGTGTACTTGAGAGAATGTGTATTCTACTGCTGTTGGCTGGATCTTCTGTTTATGTTTGGTATGTCCACTTAGGCAAAATATGGTCTTGTACTACAATGACATGTATGTACATCATTTCTATTAACGTTGTCCCATATGTCCTACATGCTTTCTTTATTTTCTTTTTGCTCCTATGATTGAAAAATTGAAAAGTTTTATCTTCCTTTGTTTACTCAAGTGCACTATTGAAACTTTATCTAATTCTTCAATTTAGTCATTGCATTTTTCAGCTACAAATTTTTTTTTATATTTTGGTTGGTTGAATTTCTCACTTTGTTCCTATGTTGTTTGCCTGATAATATAAAATTGTTACTTATGTTTTCTTGTAGCTCTCCAAGTATCTTTAGAACAATTATTTTAAATTCCTTGTAAGGAAATTCCTGGGTCTCCATTGGAGCTAGTGACTGCATGCTCCATTTGGAGTTAGTGATTGTGGGCTTACTGTATTCCTTTGGTAGAATCATGTTTTCATCATTCTTGATAATCTCCATCTCTCTTTGTAAGTATATGTTTGTTTGAAGAAATAATCACCTCTTTAAGATCTCATGAATGGATTTTGGTACCAGAAAATCTTGCCTGTCAGTGGGTGCATATAAAACCTTGTGGCAAAGTTTTGTGGGCACAGCCCACAAAACAAATCATGACAAAGCCCCTCTCCTGTGAGAGGTACTGGGTGCCAAGAGTGTGGTGTGTGGTGAGACATGGCCCCGAGAGGGCATCCTCTCCATCATGCCACTGAGGTACACAGCATTAACAACTGTGGGGTTTGATGAGAACTTCAGAGTCTGCAGAGACTTGTGGAGGCCTCAAAGGGGCAGGGCAGATTACAGTGATGGTTGGAGTCAGTGTGGTATGCTAGTGGGGTTAAGTTTCTGGCACCTATGTAATCACAGAGGTACATAACTAAGGATGGGTGTCAGGACTGGGAACACCTGTGAATTCAGTGACACTTGAGGAGTCCTTGAGAGGAGGCAAAGTCTCCCCTTAGGTATGCACACCGCCGTGGAGGTCAGTGACAGGCGTTTCACTGGTGGTATGGAAGTGCACAGTTGAGGAGTTACTTCTAGTCATGCATGTGTGTGTGGTGAGGGTCACACTCAGGTGCTAGAAAGGCAAGTTGCACATTTGCCGCTGCAGAGACCTGGTATGGCTGCTAACATGGCAGAAACAAGGGGGGAGGGTGTGGAGAGAGACTCATGTTGCTGGTGAGTATGAGCGTGAGTGGGAACGCCTGTGGAGACAAGGTTAGTGACATCTGCAGGGAATGTGTGGTGGGTATGCTGGTTTCTGCTGTGGTAAAGCTGCTGTTTTCACATCTAATTTCTCCTGTGTGGCTGTTATTTTTGATTCCTGCTCTTCTTTTTGTTCCTAGCTGTCTCTATATGTCTTTACTTTGTCAATATGGGTGGGGCAAAACCAAATGGGCCTTTCATTGGGAGCTTTGACAGACTGGGGAAGTCCATTGTTAACCTACCTTTCCCATTCCTGGCAAACGAACTCTTCAGCTGGGAATTCCCCCTAAACAGGGAACATGCTGGCTGGGGGAAGGGATGGTATAGGCTAGGGGAAACTGTCTTCCTTTTCTTTACATATGGTTATTGTTAGGTTATTTGTTATATGGAGTTGTTGAAGTTTCTCTCAGAACAGTTTTATTTGTAGATCTTTGTAAGGAGACTGTTTTTGTTGATCTTTGGGAGGACATCAGTGACTAGATCATCACATCATCAGCCTCTGCACAATTGTGAGAATGAGTTGAAATGGTAAATAGCATTTTCATATTACGCAAAAGGTTGGACCTTGAAGACCTCCCTGTGCTCACACTAAGGAACAGAGCCATAAACAACCACTGCCTTGCTCTCAGGGAACAGATTCTTCCAGGTCTCTGAGCTGACGCCCCCAGCAGTCTCTTCTCTAGGAGAATCTGCAGACATGGTAGCTCCATAGACCACGTTCCACTGTCGAAATGCCCCAGACCATTACAGGTGAGCAAGCAGCCATATCTCTGACAGCTAGTATCAGCCTAGCAATTCTTAAAAAACT